ACAAACTTAATACTTTCAAAAGCATCTCAAAAAGTAACTCAATGAAATCTATTCCGTGACCATTTTCTAATCTCAGAAATTTAAAAGCGAACTTATAATTAAAATTCAACGCAAATTTTGAAAGAGGGTTAACTCCCGAAACTTCCGTTTCTCGGAGATTGTTTCCTCAACTTTGTCAAGATCGCGATATGACGTTTTGTTATTATGCTGGGGAAATGGGTTGGATGCAGTGACCCGATTTTGGTTTGTCAACGTTGTAAATATGATATGAATCAGTTTTTTTTTTTTCGATGAATTTTTTTTTAATATTTCATTTGTTGCGAATAGAAATAATTCTAAGTCCGAAAGATAGGCTTTCAACCAGCTGCGGGACACTACTAAAATAAAAAAAAGACGATCGCTTCCCCATAACCCCAACCCCTGATATTAAGCGACAATGTGGACAGCGATTTTGTCTAGCAAATGCCTATTCACTCTAGCCCTTGAATAGCCTTAAATTGTAGCTTTCGGGAAACACAGACGCTGTCAGTTCACATTCCATGAAGACGTTTGCAACAGATCCTATCACAAGCACACACGTAAATGTACGTTCGACTAATATGGCAGGATATTGTGATGCTGAATCCAGTGTACCTACTCAAGCACCTTGACCTTGGCAACAGTTACAGTTGGACGTGAAGAACAAACTTTGACTTTTAAAGTTCGGTAAATAAAAACGAAATCACTAAAAAAGATAATAGAACTAGAATTTCACTAGTATGTAATAAAAGTGATCTTATAATGCAATCTAAATTTTACTGTCTTAACCTCATTAACAATTCTAAGCCACAAAGTATCAAGTTATCTATGTAATTGTATTTTAATTTCGTTTCTCACGTCACCCTGCGTCTGCGCTGCTCGTGGGAAAATCAGCCGAGAAGAACAGGTTGCTCTAGCGTGACACCCGACTTGTTTTGGAAGGGTCGTTTTTATTCCAACGTTGTTAAGAAAGTTCTGTACACGTTATTGTTATCACTATTTATATCGCTTTATTTATTATACTGTTAACGAAAATATCTTTTTGTAATTATAGAAAAGTAAATCGTCTCTGTTTACATCGTAGATTGATTCGCTATTATATTAAATAAATAAACATGGAACCAGTATTTAGCCCTGTGTGACACCCATATTATAAATCTTGTTGGTTTCCTATGCATGATCCGTTCGGAATAAAGAAGTACAGACTAGTATATTAATTAATATGTTAGTATTATGCTAAATTTCATTTTTCTTGTTCCAGAACCAGCGGCCGCATGTCAGAGAACGTCCTGTCCTTCAAAGCAGATGCATCTGACAATAAGGCGAGATATACATGCGAAGCTAAAAATATTATGATTAGCAACACACTTAAAGCCGAAATCGACCTTACAGTGCTTTGTAAGTACATATTCATTTAAAACATTTTCTTCTTTTTAACATTTCGCTCCTGTAGTTGTTACTTACACAATATAAATGAAAAGATCGGGTTGTATAAGGCGATTCATAAAACATTTATGTTATAGATTTATGCTCCTAAATTAATTCAAGGTGGTATGTAGGCTTCATCATATTTTTCTTCTTTAAACTCTCAACTTGCAACTCCCTTTCTTCAATTTTACTAATAGCTTACCATATACGTTTTCTTTTTTAACTCTTACTTCCTAACTGAAGATATATTCGAAGTACACTTCTAAGAAATGTTTAGGCTATCAAACGCAAGTGAGAATTCATATTATGTAATTAATCCCTAGAAACTTTTGATGTGTGTATTTTACCGAGTGCATACTGAAAATTTCTGGATGCGTTGGAGCTTAAAAAGGGGCTTTGTGACTTTAGGAGAGTGATCATTTAAACAGTATTGCGTATCTACATTTAGCGTATACAAATTGAGTTTTTACTTGGAGATTATAACAAAAGATATATTTATTCATTGAAAATTTACAATGTTCAGACAATAATTACAACACTTAAATAGTTTCTTCGGAATTCTAATTTCCAGGTTTGCTAATATGGTGTTAAAGTTTCTACAATATAAATATAACAGTAATGATGAACCTGTTATTTTGGCAAACAGATGGACCGCCCAGTTGCAAACAATCCGTTAAGTTTTAACGGATGCTTCATTAATCCTGCCCCAAGCTTTATAATATAGTTATCTGGACTCAAAATATACTTTTTTTTTAATTAGTCAAAACGTGACCAAATAAGCAGTGATCGTAAACTTTTGGACAACAAATTACAGTAAAAGAGAACATTTAAAGAAATTATTAGAAATGAAATTTACAAATGACGCCATAATTTTGTAATGTTTAAAATCTCTGCTTTTAGTCTGTTATAGTACAAGATTTAAAAATGGGTTTTGTAAAGGTAAACAATTTACATTTAATGTTTAATAGGCAGTATAATATTACTACTAAACAATAATATCATTTGTGAATACGTTGTTTTGTATACACGTACATAAAACTCTTTATTCGATCTCACACTCTCACACTATCGTCGGTTAAGGGTATGCATAACCTGGCCCTTCTTATGTTTTACGGTATTTATTAAACTGCTTTCCTTACTGACCTGAAGTGACTGAATGAAATGGTGCGTGATAAAAGAACCAAAATATCTTTCTGTCTAATGCTAAAAAAACGAAGCGCATAGAATTCTCTTACAAGATACCAGAGCAAAGAATTTACTCGCAATATTTAGACTTATGTCTATTTCTGCCACCAAGCAATTTATAATAATCTGAGCATTGCTGCCTTCAAATTTTAAAGGGTACGTAAGGGTTCTGGTGAAATTACAGGCACATGGGACTTGTCAACTTACAGCTCAGTTTTGAAGAATAAAGGTGAAGGTGAAGCTATTGGGACATGGGATTTGTCTACTTTATGTCTCATGGTGACAGGCGCAGTGGCAGTCCCCTCAGATCTTTGCGATTTAAAGCTTTGAATGGCATTGCAACTGTTATGGATAGGCATGTAACTTACCACTAGATCCAAAACGTGTTTCATCTCGTCACTTGATATCCCAAAAAAAATAAACTGTTTTTTATAATTTCAAATCTTCTTATCGAGTCAATGACAAAAACCTATAAAAAAAACAATGTTACACTTATTTGGCTCAATAAACAGTCACCTCTATCTGTTGCGTTTAGCAGGTCTTCGCAGGTGCAGTTGGTTGGACATAATGAACATAAGAGAAAATGAGACATACTTTATGTTGATCCACAAGCATAATGGTTTTGAGTCGAGTTGATATATCCCCATTTCCCCATGTTGCCTCTATATCGGCCTGCTGTGACCTTAGACGGTTCAGGGATTTCGATATTGACCGCTGCAATTCGTACCCGGGGGAAGACTTTCAGCTGGGGTAATAAAATCAAGAGGAGCAGCGAGTTCGACTTGGCAAAGTTTGCGTCTCGCCTCCGTTAGGCTACCCTCTGTAGCGGTGGTACGTCGAAGGAAACACTTACAGCTTGATAGTCGTCCTGGTGGGAGCTTGTGGACGAATAAAGGGTTCGGACTATCAACTTATTTATTTATTTATTATTATATTAGGCACGTCAACATCATATGTATTTCACAATCAACGAAAATTAGACATAAGGCTAGAACTGATACGTATGAAAATTACAGACGTACACAACATTCGCTACACACTGCACTATATATATTCAATTTCACGACAACATTGCTGACATAATTACACAATGACTTAAAAAAAATACTTTTCGCGTTCTTAGGTTTTTGAGATTGTTACACATAGGAAATGAAACTATTTTTCCGGATTTATATAGCCTATATTTGTTTTTTGACTCAGAGTCAACCGTGCCGTGCCGTGACCATGGGACCTGTAAAGGGCCCGAAACGTCGGTTTGTTTGAAAAAACAAATATACGCGATTTAAGTCCGGAAAAATAGTTTCATTTCCTAAAAAATACTTTAATAATATACTTTTTGCATAAATTTAAAATTAAAAACAAGGAAAAAACTACTAGTGTTAATTTTATTATTATTTAAAATGTGAAGTTACGAGTAGCTTGTGCCTAAATACTGAAGAGTCAGCAAACATATCCGCATCACAAGTATTTTTCAAATCATCTACATATTCTTTTGATAGGTGAATTGAAGCCTTCATTGTCCTACACAAGGGCAAATGCAAGAAATAGGGCATCTGCTTTAATTTCTCTACTACACATTCGAATAGTTCCGATCAACTTTAGAAAAGCTCTTTTCTAAATTCAAACCCTCTAGATCTAGAATGAAAATACATTAATTATAAAGAACGAACTTTGCGGAATGAGCTTAAGTGAGGAGCTCCAACAGAGAAAACAACACTCCCAAAAAAAATTAATGAACCGTCAAACTCAATCACCGAAAAAAAAAGACAAAGTATTCTAAAAGAATAACAAAGTAAGAAAAATAAAAAATATAAAGAGGATCGGTCACAAAGAAAAACATTCGAAATTTCGGGAATTGCAAAAAACAATCTTCCAGGAAGGGAAACTTTTAAAAGTACCCTCGAGTTTTAGGCGTCAATTGATGGAGGAAAATTAAAAGTTTGTAAGAAATAAACGTCAAATGAATTGGAAGTTAGGTATTAAATACCTTATTATTTTTTAACTACTTACTTTTTGTTGCAATTGGGAGCACAATGATTTGTGCGGAACTTAGTAAGTAAAGCCGATCAAGTAACAATAGAGCTTATAAAAGTGTTTGCTCAGGGAAGTTTGTTCCGGTTTTGAAGGGAAAGGGTTCTAGAGAAACTACAGCTACCTTGTACTTATCAACTTTATGCCTCAGGGTGACTACAGTGCCCCTCCGATCGTTGATATTTAAAGCTATGGGTGGCATTGCAACTGTTATGGATAGGAGTGTCAATTAGCACCAAGCGCGCGACTTATACATCTTATATCATATAATATAATACATTACAGACGTATTTCTGTATTAAATCATCGTCATCGTTTCGAGCGAAAGACGTCCACTGCTGAGCATGGGTCATACAGACGCTGAATTGTCTCCGACAGTCAATCTCTTAAGATGTGTGCACTATACTTGTTTATTTTTTTTAGATTAGACAGAAGGAAATTTTAGGTATTTGATCAGACGCCATTTCATTCTTTAAGTCATTTTATAAGCTCAATTAAATTGCTTTAATTTAATAAAAAACCGTGATTCGAAAGTATCAAATATAGTCTCTAAATTGATGTAATTATTACGTTTTGTTTGCTCATAATATTCACTAACGATTAACTAAGTAAAGATAGAAATGAAAACTTTCTATCTTTACTTAGTTAATCGACTAAAAAGAAAACTGTAAAAAACCTTAAGAAACCGGGGTTCGAAAGATTAAATGGCAACTATTTTAAATATAACAACATAAATATCGTGTCATTTATAAATGTAATTTGTCATAAATTTTTATGATATTTTACTTTACTGCAATTTGTGGTCTCAAGAAAAAGTTTATTATCACCGCTTCCTTGTTTACTATTTTTCTAATTCTTAAAAAAATAAGTTGTAGTGCATTTTTCAAAATTGAAAATTACAACTAGATTCGAAAAATTTCAAAACCCTCTAGCTATGTTTTAATTTATAACCCTTAACCGTAATCTTTATTTTGATCAGCGTAACTGGAATCGCGGGTCCATATGGACCCTCCAATTTAAAACCAACGTCCTAACAAAGTTATAATAAACATTCATATGGTTTACGAGTGTATTAAAACTAGTTTTATTTGAAATATAAATCAACTTGTATTGAGCAATATCTTTAAATTACTTATATTAATTTTTGAAATTTTAATTACCACACTATATATAAATGTAGAAAAAAGGAAAAAAAATCTCACACTACGGGGTTTTACGTATCGTCCCGCTAACAAAAATATGAACATTTTATGAGATCAATTAAAAATAGGTAATAAAAATAACAACCTAATCTAAAAATTATATTGTGGCTTATGACTTTGGAGCCGCTAGGTGCGTCGGTGCACCACGTGAATTGATTTTTACCTCGCTAATAATATTATGTTATACTTGATTGTGCACATCTTCTAATTCATTATCAGACGATGAGTCACTTGAGTTAGATGAAATTTCGCGTTGCGTTGTCACTAAAGTTTCCCTCATCACAAGGTTGAAAATCGCTTGAAGGTTCTGGGTCTGAATAACTTTTGACTAATAATATTTAACTGACATCATTTTCAGAAAGATTGCAAGCCATTGTTAATAAAATCCCTAAAACAATTCAAAATACATCGTTGTAACGTCCAATTGGACCCGGCGACAGCACATACCTCCACTTCCAGAAAGTTCCAAGCTCCGAACGCCCAGCACCCGCCGCGCCTTGCGACGTTATGAGATTAGGTTGACGCTTGAGTTTGTTTGTTGTCGTCGGGTCA